AAAGAGGATATATGGCGGTAATTGAATTTAACTAATAAATAGTGATTTATAATTATGACCCATTGCTTGACTTCCTTTTGTTACTTATTATTCCTAATGTTTGATATTTGTGTCTTGTTATGGAACATGATTTTAAACGATAGTCACTTTAACTGTTAATCCTACCTCAGTATATTATAGTGATGCTTGTGGACATGGTGGATAGGAGTTTTGTTACCAGGACATTGTATCTCACTCTATTACTTTTTGTAGGTGAGAGCAAAAGGAGAGTTGCGACAGGAAAGGAACCTGAGGCTGGAGGTCACATGGCAAAGTGACCTAACCCCACATTTCTTTTGATTATGTTGACTTTCATTTATTTGTCAGCCAGAACATCTACATTCTCTATTATTTTTGTAGAACTTGTTGACTAAGTTGTTATTTCTATTTTTGGTTATATTTTTGGTTTGAAGTAGATTTTTGCTAAGCAACCCGATCTACACTTCTTTTGGCAACTCATTATATAATAAATAAGCAGATCCAGTTTGATGATTTATTCCTTGTTAGTACCTAACTTATTTGCTATCTTAACTATGTTCATGAGGTACAACACGAGCTCCTTATAACCATGTTAGTGGCTAAATTCTTTTCTAACATGGTTAATGATTTTGAGGTAAGAGAAATCTTTTATAACTACAATATAATGCATCATGAACAGTATTACCTTGTTTCTTTTTTATCGTGATTATGCATTGAATAATAGCTATGTTGGCATCAATGTCTAGTGAGGTGTTTACAAACAAAGTTTTTACTAGGATGACAAGTGAAATAGCCTTCCTAAATAAACTGATAAACTTAACTTTTTTTAGAGTAACTTCAACAAAAAACTTTTTATAACCAAATCATGCCAATAAAAAAACTCAAATGTATCATAACTAGATAAACTAACTTGCTATATGATACTATCATTCATGATAGAAAAGAGTAGCACCTAATTATACACCTTATCACGGATAAAAGAACTTTTCTTAACTTATTCAAATACATACCATATTAGAAAAGATCAATCTATCTAACATGATTATAAAAGAACATATAATATAGTTCATAAATCAAAATAGTAATAATTAAGTCTTAGCCATATTTTATAATAAATTCATAATAAATATATCACATATGATTTAAGGTCTCTGGCCAATTACCAATGTACATACCATAACAAAACAAATAAAAGAACACAAGATATGATAATGCATGAATCAATGAAACACAAATTGTTCTAAGGTGGCAATATACAAGAAATAACATAACTCATAGATCGAAGAGGCACTACAAATTGCTATTGTAACTTTAGTCCTCCTGAGCCTTCCTTGACGTCCCTTCTCTAAACTTTTCACCTGAAAAATGTTAAACAACAAGGATGAGACAATGTCTCAGTAATTAAATTTCAACCTATCACATACACACTATCATGGGCTAGCGAGTGTCAAGTGGGATACACATAGTTAGTAATATTTAATGGACATTTATTTAACAGTTAACCTCACAATGACCATATAAGTCAGATATTTTTACCAGCCTCATACAATTGATAATATCATAAGATATAATATACTTTTCATTTATTAAAAGATATAAATATTGATGAAGGTTCCACGCCATATGCAATCATTGAACCCAAATCTACCTTTATATCCTCCGGCTAAAGACCACAAACACTCAGCGGATGATGGGTCCCCCCTTGAAGAACTAGTAAGGTGTCTCACTTCCTTAAAGAACTAGTGGGACAATAATAGTGGCTAATCATAAATTTTCATAAGGAGGCCAATACCACATGGCAATTATATAGATATCAGTAACTCCAATCATCTCCTCCATAGCCTATCCCAAATGTACATGATTCAAAATATTCAAGTGGATATACACATATATAAGAATATCACCCATCAAAACTTTAACTCAAGCATCATATTTCAAAGACTAGTTATTTCCAAACTCATTTTGTTCAGTCCCCTTCAAAATAGTACCCCACAAGCAAATAAAAACTTTATATAAAAGAATTTAACAACAGCTAGATATTCAATTATTTGGTCTCCTAGCTACTAGTTAGATACAAACAAGGCCCGCACTTGGAAATGCCATAATAGGGTTTATATCTATAAATGAAATTAAGATATTATATCTACAGTATTAGAGTAAACTACTCACAAAGTTCTAGCCTCTAACTCCTCCTCTAAGGCCTTCATCTGTTACTCAGAATTCTAATTGGATCGGCTTTTTCTAAGGTTTAGAGTAAAAACATATGTATGAGAATTTAGATTCAATTCCTAGGCTCTCTTAACTCAGATTACTCTTTAATTATTAAATTATATCATTAGAATCACTAAATTTGTAACATAGATAGAACACTCCCAATTTATAGCTTATTTTCTATCTTTGAAGAACTCAGACAAACTATAGGAGTCTAATTATTGATCCTAGTGTTGACTTTAACTTCTTAAATGTCACAAATTGATTCTCTAAATTCTGGCTCAATCTAATAGTGAACAAATTTTAAAACAATAATTTACTATGATGAGTTTGAAGTGTCAGACTGGCTAACCAAATTTCAACTCAATCTAATGGTTCACAAACTCATAAACAGCACTTTACTAAGACTGTTTCAGTTTTGTGCAAAAATTATTTAACTTATTCTTAACTCTCCCCTACTACCACCGCTATATAGACTCCTAAAGTTCTATCTTCCTATCATTTAGTTTATGTGAGACTTCTCAATATTATTATTTTATCAATTTATTTATATATATTTATACATATACACAAATACATATGATTATAATTATTTTAATTTCTTTCATATATATATTTAACTTTTTTCTATTTGATCTTAAAAATTTACTTTAATGATAAAAAAATTAGGACGTCACAACAAGGTTCACCCAAGTTTCCTACATTGAATGGGAGTATGAACGGTAATCTTTCAGTCTGGGCTATTACGGATAGAATAGAGAATGGAGGTCAGACGAATGATGAACATGAATGATAGGGGTTTAGGAGGTCAGAAATGTTTCACATTTCAAATCAGATAATAGAGGTATGAGAGTGAATAATTGAGTGTGATAGACCGATCATGGAGAGCAAGCGGGAACGGCCAGGTTGCAGGTTTCAACCAAAGAGGTTGAATATTTCACAATAGTCGACATGATTAAAAACCTAGGGGTAGGGTAGAATAATTAACTATTAACCAAAATTATAAGAGGCCTAAGCTAGCCTAACAGGATAAATTTGGAGTTTTTGGTGTGTATAATAAGCTAAAAATCGAAGGTGGAGTATGTGATAGCTTATAGGAAAAATTTTGGGGATTAAAGGATCCTAGGAGGATCCAAGTTTTCTTATGGTTAGTAGCAAATAAATACTACCTATTATTAAGAGGAAAAGTAGATTGATGGGCGGAAGCCCTGCTCTATAAATGTAATAGCGAGCCAGAAATAGTGATGCATGTGTTAAGAGATTATGGTAGAGAGGTATGGTAGCAATTGGGAGAGAGAAGTTTTGTTTCGGATTTTTATGTTCTGCGAGGAAAAGATTGGTTTTGATGGTGTTTAAGTAGAAAGAAAAGGAAACGGAGGATATAGCGTTTAAAGTTGGATGTTTTGGAGTTGGAGGAATAAGGGGTTGCTTGAGGATGGTTATAAACCCCCTAACAGCCCGTGCTTGGTCATAAATAGCTATGTAAATGAAGTAGAAAAAGCTATTTGTGGATTGTACTTAAGGAATCTAACAAGGCAAGAAATAAATATAAAGTAGATAGCACCACAGGAGGATTGGGTTAAATTGAATACTAATGGGGCTTCAAAGGGACTGGCTAAATTGGCTAGATTGGTAATTACAACTGAAATTGGCTAACTACCTTGGTATACAATCTCTTATTGTTGAAAGTGATTTTTTTTATCTATTGTAAATATTTTTGTAATGTAGTTGATGAGTTGGATGTGACGTCTAGTCTTTTGGAATTTGTAAGGAATTAGAAAATTTTGTTAGAATTAGGATACGACATGTATATAGGTAAGGTAATGTTTGTGCTGATAAGCTTGCCAATCTTAGCTTTGAGTTAAAGAATGTGGTTACTATTTTTTGTGAAGTCACTTGAGAAAGTACAAGAACTATATTTTTGTTTCATGGGAGTGTCTTTCCCACGAGCAGTGAAGATATAACAATATGGGTTTTAGTCTTGTACTATTCACAAAAAAAGACTAAAATTATAAATAAGGAACGAAAAACCAGATGGTCACTAAACATATTAAAGTAGCGGCTCAAGGTCAGTTGATCGAACTAGGATCAACTCAGAGTCAAATTAGTCATATTAAAATAATATAATATAATTAAAAATAGCAAAATATAACAACATTAATAATCACTAATAACAAAATATAAGAAAATATAACAATAGTTTAATTGTAACAATAACAAAATATAATAACATTAAGAATTTTGATCTTTATAGTTCATCATTAACTAAAATTAATAATCATTGATACCAAAATCATTATTAAAATTCATTTAAATCTATAGGGGTTGATATATTAGAAGTTAAATGAAAAAAAATAAGACTAATAATAACATAATCATCCAAACCGATTCATTGCCGATTTTCATCGGTTTTCACCGTTTCACTCCGATTTGATCGTTTAACTCCCTCCTTGTTTAACATCCAAACTAAACCAGGCCACCAGGTGGTTCACTAGTTTTTTGATTGAATTGGTTGGTTCAGTCTAATTTTTTACTCTTTGATGATAACATGTACAAGCTGATGTGACAAGCTTAATAGGCTTATTAAAAAATTTAGGCCTAACATTTTAATGGAAACACGCTTTCAAAAAAGCTTGCGCTTTGAGCCTATTTCTATTATATACTCCTAATAAATTGTGTAGTCTATTCCCAGCTCTGGTCATAGGCAAAAAGAGGAGGAAAGTAAATATGTCATGTATTAACTAAAATACCATGCCTAATTTTCAATATTCCACAATTGCCCATCCATGAATATGCCCTAACTGCTATGGCATCATCCCCGTTGGCTTTTGCCTTTCTGCTTCTTCGCCTCTCTGCTTGCTAGCCGCTGACATCTGCGGAGCACCTCCAGCCGGCGCCGCCGACTCCACTGTCCTCTTCCCAGGTACCATTTTCTTTTTTTTCAGTTCCTTAACATAAGCTGATGCTGAGAACAATGATTTTGTTTGATTTGTAAATTCAGTTGGATTGGATATTTCGGATATGCTTCAATTCATCCTTTCTAGAAATTTCGAAAATAATCCCGTCTGCTCGTGCTCTGTGTTGATCTTGGCTTCTCATTTTCGTTTTCTCTGGCACAACAATGGCATAACTCCACCATACTCTTTTTCTCTTCTTCTTTTGTTCTTTTTGACGTGACTTTACCATACTCTTTGACAATTTATATATAATTTTTAGCTGGATATCTGGTTGGGTTTTTCGGAAGTAAATACTTTATTCACGGTTTTCATGCCTCCACCATTTCTTCTATTCGGCCAATGGTTTTCCCCCTTTGTGGTTTTTCTTAATCAAGTTCGGGCAGGGTTGGCATACTTCAATTTTTAGGATGACGAATTGATCATTTTATCAGATACGGTTGGTGCATTCTGTAAATATGTTATCATAGAGCAGCACGTGGAACTCATCCCTAGGTGTGGATCTTGCTGTGGTTATGTGGTTAATTATGCTTACTAAGGCTACTTTGACAGGTTGTAGACGTTTGAGTAATCATGAAGGTAAGGTCATCTGTGAAGAAGATGTGTGAGTTCTGTCGGACAGTTAAGCGTCGAGGACGTGTATATGTGTTATGTACGGCCAACCCTAAGCACAAGCAAAGACAAGGCATGTCAACAGTTGCTCAAGCAATGTCATCTCATACCGTGTATGTGTTACTTTCTCAGTTATGATTGTGGTTTTGGTAGATGGTAGTTTCCTTCTTGATGGGCATGTTGCAAAATTCTCATCAAAACCCTTGGCTTTTGTTTATAGGATATCATATGTTAGTTTAAGTTTCTGCATGCTTTCTTTCTGTGGTAGAAATTCATGCACACATGTATAGATGCTTTCTTTCTGTGGTAGACATGCTTGCGCACTTGTATGGATTTTATTTGATCAGTGGCTCATCATGTTTCACAGTTAATTTTGCTTGTTTCACTAAGTCATTGGAAAGGGCACCTTTTTTTGATGGATCAGGATCCTTAGAAATTGAGAGGCTGAGTTCACGTTTTTATGATTTAACCCAGTATATTCTGTATATACTCTTTCTTTCATATTTTTTTCTTAAAAGCTATGGGAGAGCGTAGAAGCCACAAGCATTGGCTGGGCCCAATATGCAAAAGTTCGAGAATAAGCCTTTGTTCAATTTTCCTATGGATACTCAGGCAATCTTCCCTGAAAACTTTTGCTTTGATCAAGCCACAAGCAATCACCACTATTCCAATAGTGCTGTAGACACCCATTATGGTGTTCATGACATCAAGTCACAAGCATTCACCTTTGTCCAAATTTTGCTCTTGATATCCACTTTAGTGTCCAAGACTTGTTCCTCAAATCAACTTCTCCATTTTCAAATTCATCTTTCTTTCATCAATAACTAGAAAAATACAATGCATCAATCGATGCCATCTCTTTTAAAGATTTTCTTCTTCTTTGAGGACAGAAAGAAATGAATAGTAAGCTAATGAATGTACTTATGATAAGGAATGGATAATTTTAAAGCTTTTGGTTGAATTGATTTTTGTGGCTGAAGAAATCTCCAAAATTGTTGAAATGTTTTGGCCATCTCCAGAAATTAATTTCAAATTTTATTTTGAATTCAATCAAAGTAAGAATTTGTCATATTAGAGAGATTTGTTTTTGTACTTAATCAAACTATGCATTTTCATTTCCCTCACCCTCATTGTTTTAAATCAATATCAAAAGCATTTTTGGGAAGCATTGCCCAAATGCCTCCCCCAAGGTTGAATCAATGCCGATACTTGGGTTTTTCTGAGATTGGAGCTTTTGAATGTAGCTTGCATGCTCTCATATAGTTATTGCCCATTCCAAAGGAGGAAAAAGTGAAACAGGGACTATATTGGGTTATATTTCACTGTCAAGTAGTGATGTGGGTGATGTTGATAATAGATCTGTGTTTGAGTTGACTTGGTTGGATAGAAGATATTAGCAGAAACACACCTCAATTTCAAGAGGTTTTCTGATCCTATTTTGATGAGCTAACATTTTAAGTTGGGAATATTTGAATGCAATATGAGTTGTCTTTTTTGTTTTCTACAATCTATAAGCTTTAGGATAGGAAAGGAAAGGAAGGTGTGACTGAAAATGATATTCGATAGTAGGCATGTGATAGAAGAGATGTTTTAGGGGAAGATATGTAAAAATATTTGCGTCACTTCCGGGTTAATTCTAACAAGAACAATATATAGGTCCGTGGAAGTCTGATAGAGGTGAGGCTATTTGATCATGCTCATGAAGTCTTGAGAATTCTATTTTGTTATAAATTTATGATTATTATTATTATATTGAGATTTTTATTTTATGTCGGGCCCTGCATCCAAGAAAAGTAAATTCAAGTTCTTGATTATTCTAGGAGCGTTATCACATAGCTTCATCTATCCAGACTTCCATGGATTTCTCGCAATAGATTCCAATCTTGTAATCCAAGTCAGCATGAATGGCAATGTTGAACTTCAGTAAGATCGCTGCCGGTATTGCCAATGTGAGGTTTGTTCCTTTGTTGAAAGTGCAGTTGGCCTTTGGAAAGGTCAAGGTAGAGAATGCTGGTTGTAATATTAGGGAGGATGGTGAAAATGAAAATCTGACTGATCAAACAACAACCTAATACCTCTGTACGTTGATGAGTCTCATTTTTATCTTCATATTCCTCTTTTTCTTCTTTAGTAATGCAACCACTATCGTCTACCTCTCTTTGTTGAAGGCACCGTACTAAATAGTTGACCGCATTTTCATTAAAGAATTGAACATTACATGGGTAGTTTTGTCAGCAATCTCCCTGAGGTTTAACATCCTCATTTGCGCCCGTAACTCGAATGACAAGATCAAAATCTATTAGGAAAAGGATAGATCTGTGAAAGTGTAATAAATATGGGTCATATGATGATATCCCTGAAAGTCTTGTGAGTTCTATTTTATTTGTTAGATTTAGAAAGTTTTATTTTATATCAGGTTCTGGTGCATTCATTTCACAATTGAACAATCTAGCATGTTGCCTATTTATCTTTATTTTCTTATTTTGAAAGATCAAGATCTTATTCATTTGATCTATTAAAGAATAGATCAGTATTGTTAAGTTTTTTTTTTTAATTTTTTTCAATTGATTTTCACATTATTGATCATTTTAATATTTTGATCAGCGAGTATGAAATGTTTAGAATTAAAAATTAATAATAATTTTTTATTATTATAATACAATTTTCTGTTTCCTTTTTTATTATATTCTATTGATAATGATAATTAAAAATGATTATTTTGATACATTTTATTGTTGAAAAATTTAAAGATCATATTTTATTATTCTTTAGAGGAATGGTATTTTCGGAACGCTGTTTTCAATTTCTTTTTAATCTTTTACATAACCAGGCAATTTCTCCTTATCAAACACCTTTTTCTTTTTTTGATACAAAGGAAGGCTTAAGCCTGAACAGAGAAAATTAAAAAAATATTGGGGATTAAATCCCCAGTAACAAGCACCTTTTTCAGTTATACAAGCAAGCAGACTGGTAAAACTGAAAAGGGGTGTGTGTATCAAACGCCTTTTTCGGTTATACCAGTCTGCTTGCTTTGAGCTTATATTCTGTAAACTAAACAGAACTTATGGGCCTGTTAAATCATGGGGCCAGAGTTGACAAGAGAAGGGCCAAGGGAGGAGGATCAGGGCCAAACCAAAACGCTGATAATAATAATGCACATGGGAAGGGCAGAATAGGAATAATGCTGGTTAACGATTTATGATTAGGTCAGATTAGAAAGTGGGGAGCATTACAATGAGGTCCCAAACAAGAAAAATAATTACTAAAGAGTTTTAATAACAACATAAGCAGCTTGTAATGATAAGTTCCAAAGTAGAAAATGACAATCTCTGAGACTTGTTTTGTGATTATTTTTTGGGATCTCGTCGTAACTCTCGCTAGAAAGTGGGGGTTGGGGGAAGCAATGTAGCGTGAGGAGTGGGCCTTGTCTCTTGAAAATCAGCCTGGAAAGGATTTTCTCTTTTGGTTCTTGTTAATTTTCTGTTTTTGAGAGTTAACTTTTTCTTAGCAGTAAGAGGTAGGCTTCCTAGCTGAGTGATACAGAGTGGGAGAGATTAGTGATTGTCTACATTTTCGAGCAATAATAGAGGATAGCCCCAAATATAGTTTCCCCAAAATCATCTGATTGTTGCAGGTTCTACGAGGATCCTTAGAAAAGTCTGTTATTTGAACAAAATTCAGAGTTGGTTTAATTTATATGCTCTATTGCTCATAATGCATACCTGATGCCACCGTCACAAGCTAGGTTTATGATGCTTTTTACTTTCCTTAATGTTTCCCCGTCGCCGAAACGATTAGTTTTTGGGAATTTATATCTTTCACATGCCAAGAGCATCACCAAGTTCTTACTGATTTCCTGTAAAATGCTGAAATAATTTCAGGTCCTCAGAGCCAAGTGCCAAGCAGATTAGTTTTACCAACAGCTCACGTACAGGCCTGGCTTCCCTTCTTCCTCAAAGGCACGGCCTCTCTATGTTGTATGGATGGAGGGTGGGCCTGGCCTCTATTCTGTCTAAAAGGTAAAACAAACACGGTTAGCGCCTTGGAATCCAAAGATTATGTTGGAAGCAGTGACTTACTATGAGAAGAACCTCATAAATAATTACCACTCTTGATCAGGGCCTTTGCCTCCCTCCTTTCTTTCTATTGTTTATGAAGTCTAGCTTTGCTTTGTTTTGTTCACTGTTAGAAGGTAACAGGTGCAGCAAGACTTATGTGGACCCTTTAGTATGCATTCTTGGTATTATTTGGAAAATGTAAAACTTTGGTACAGGGCTTTTTGCCTGTTACAATCTTTCTTGGGTCTTCTTTTTATTTTTTGTTAGTATTGGCCTCACCTTTTTAGGGAGGAAAACAAAGTTTGACTCCTAGGAAGCACATGATGGGAGAAGCAAAAACTTTTTAATACGCTCCAAGCCTCTAAAGCCTAAAGTGGTTTGAGAATATCCTTAGTAATTCACCTGAAAACTTTTTAAGGTAAATACATGCATCTGCTTGATGTACATGAAATGGCTCCCCATGAGTATATAATATTGCTTCACACCAAATAGAGAGGCAAGTGGGGTTCAAAGAAAGAGGTCTAATTAATTTCCCATAATGCATGCTTCTACAATGCTGCTCCAATCAAATACAATCATTACCCAGCCATACCCTTTGGTATGGCGTTCTTTGCTTATGTAGTCCCAATGCATTTGCTCAACAAAAAAAAAAAACAAAAAGAAAAGCAGCAGCAGCAGCCTGATATTCAATAGTTTAATTTATGGGCGGAGGGTAATTTTATCATTTGATTTTAAAATTTTTATTTTGGTTTTTAAATGAGAAAAAAGAAGAATAAAAAAAAATCAGATATTGCGTTATTGTTACTTAGTCTAAGTGATTTCAAAATATTTATTTTATAACTATATGATCCCAAATATGGGTTACAAATGCGTACCTTATACATATTAAGAAAGTTATTTAAGTCAGGTTTTATTTTTAAAAGGAAAAATTCCAGAAAAAGCCCTTGGAATACGCCAAATCCCAGATTGGGCCCTTAAATTGGGTCAAATGACCCAATCTGTTATTTGTGAAATTCAGGCGAATTGACATTTTTGCCCCTGAGCAAAAGTGAGTAGTTATTCTCTAAACAAATCTAGGTAACGCTTACACTGTTCTCGTGATTACAAGATTCGTTGTAATTAATAATAAGGTACCTGACAATAATAAGATATTTGACTATGAAAAAATGAGTAGTTATTCTCTACACAAATCTAGGTAATGCTTACATTGTTCTAGTGATTACAGCATTAGTTGTAGTTAATAACAAGATACCTGACTATGAAAAAGTGAATAGTTATTCGCTATACGAATCTAGGTAACACCTAAACTCTTATAGTGATTCCTTGAATCATTGTAGTGAATGAATAAATAGGGCAAAATTGTCAATTCGCTGAATTTCACAAATGACAGATTGGGTCAATGACCCATTCTGTCATTTTCGAAATTTAAGGACTCAATCTGGTATTTCCCATATTCCAAGGACCTTTTTTGGGATTTTCCCTTTTTAAAATTGATTTTTTTATTCTAAACTTAATTATCCTTAACAGTTAACGGTTAGTCAAAGTCATGCCTCTTCACCTGACACACATGCCAATGGATCAACCAGAGACTTTTGTGAGAAATAAATATTTTATTATATACAGGTAGTATATTTTAGTATATTTTAGACTTCTATTTAATAACAAAGATAATATTTTCTTGGGTTAATATAATTTTTTATTCTTTAAATTTGTTCTCATTTTGGTTTTGGTTTTGGTTTTTCAAGTTTCAAACCATAGGTTTTAGTCTCTTAAAGGACAAAATAGTCTATATTTTTATTAGATTATAAAAATCAATGTTTTAAATTAAAAAAATTGAGGGACCAAAAGTTTTGAGGAACCAAAGCCAAAATAAATACAGATTTATGGAACTAAAAATTACATTAACCTTATTTTCTTTATCAAATTATAAATGATTTCAAAAGTAATTTGAATTATAGTCAGGAATGAATTTAGATTTTTTTTTTGGGCCATGGATTTGGAATAATTTCACATGGGAAGGCTTTGTTTGGCCTTTTTTTGTTTTGTCCTGACTTATGCATGTACATTATAATACTCCTCCGGTCCTTAATATAAGACTCATTTAACTAATTTGATTAGATTAAAAAAGTTAAGTAAGTTAGTTAATTATAAGAAATGTGATACGTTTTTCCTAAAACACTATAATCATCTTTCTTAATACCATCTTTCCTTCTTATAATTGATTATAGTTGAGGAAGTATCCATAAGGGTAATTTAGAGAAAATTGATAAATATGAGAAATAGGTTTTATATTTAGGATCAAAACTAACTCAACAATTGGGTCCTATATTAAGGACAGGAGGAGTATATTCATTTGCTTATTTCGTAATTAATTTATAAATAGCTTATTTTAAGTTTCAACATAAGTTAATTTAGTGAAATACTTAATTTGATTCCCAACGCGTAAATCAATTGTCTTCTTTATTTCTTTTCTTTTTTTTCACGTCAAGATATTAATATAATTCCTTGACTTTGATACAACAATAACAAAATCTTATCTTTCTAGGTCGTCTCTATTATATGGATCGCATGACACTATTAAACTTTATCAGCAATCACATTTTTGAATAGGTTTTTATTATTAATTTTAAGAAAGCAAAAGTTATATCATATATACAGATTTTTATTTTTTAAAATAACTATTTAGCTTCCAATGTATAATTAAGACATCTAATTAACATCAATTCTCCCTTCCGTTATATAAAGATAAATACTTGTGTGTATCCTGTCCGTTCACTTTTATTGGGTGGGCCAAGTTTTTTTATTTATTGGTTACAGGTATTTTAGAAAAAGATATATTAATTACTGCCATATTTTTGTAAATTGTATTATATATAGGAATACCACATCCTCCAAATTTTTTTTCTTATACTACCTCCGGTCTTAATTATAAGACTTCGTTTTTAGACTATAAACAAGATCTTATAATTAAGATCGGATATAATAATTAAGAATGGAGGGAGCATAATATATTTCCAACCTGACTGCCTTTTCATATGCATATATGTGCACAACATAAGTCCTTTTCTTCCAACTTATTTTTCTAAAAAATATATAAGTCCGTTTTGATAATATCTAGAACATTTAATATTTTTTCTATTTTTCTCTTTAGTACAATTAAATTTCACAAATAATTATAATTAATATATTATAATTACTGTAGTATTAATTTTTGATAAGGGTGTATATTTGAAAAATACTACAATTTTTCCATCTTTAATGATGTAACTACTATTTAATTGACCATAAACTTTTGTTCCTGTCGTGGTTAAAATCAACTTATATTATGAATAGGACGATTGAAACATTAGTTGCCTTGGTATTATGGAACGTCTTAGTTTCAAAAAGTTTGGGTGCCAAGTGCAATGAATCATACATTTCTTAATCACCAACTTTTAACCTAATTCATTAGTAATAATTTATACTAATCAATCAAATGTTTTGGACAAAACCCACGAAGAAGATTAAAACAAAGGGGGAAAAACAAGAAAGAGAGAAAGATTGTTTTCTTTAGTCAACGTAACTATTAAAACAAGAGTAAACTATTGAAACAACCTTTCTAAATAAACCGATAAATTTAACTTTTTCATAATAACTTTAAAAAATAACTTTTTATAACCAAACCATACTAAATATAAATTCAAATTATATCACAATCATCTACACTAACTAATTATATAATATTGTTATATGTGATAGAAAAGAGCAGCACCCAATTACACATCATATCACAGATAAAAACAATTTTCTTAACTCAGTCAAATACAAAGTATGTAAGAAAAGATCAATCTTATCTAATATGGTTATAAAACAACATATAATATAGCCCATAAATCAAAAATTAAGAATTAAATCTTAATTCATACTTTATAATAAATTCATAAACAAATCACATGTGATCATAGGTCTCTGATCAACTACCAGCACACATACCACAATAGTACATTCAAAAGACATAAGACATAATAATGCATGAATCAATTAAAAACAATTTATTCTAAGATGGCAATATACAAGATACAATATAGCTCATAAATCGAGGTGACGCTACAAGTCGTTAATGTAGCTTTACTCCTCCTAAGCCTTTCCTGATGTCTTTCCTCTAAAGCTTTCACTTGAAAAATGTTAAACAATAGAGATGAGATAACGTCTCAGTAACTAAATCCTTACCTATTATACATACTAGCATGGGCTAGTGAGGTGTCAAGTGAGATACACAAAGTTAATAGTAATTAATAGACATTTATTTAATAGTTTAACTCACAATAACCATATAAGTCAAATAGTTCCGCCAATCTCATATAGCTGATAAATTTCAGAAGAGATAACATACTTTTCATTTTATTCAAAAGATATAAATATCAAATGCAGATACCATGTCATATGCAATCCATAAACCCAAATCTATCTTTATATCCTCCTTATTTCTGCCGATTGGACCCATGGGTTAAATTCTTTTCATTTGACTGACTACTCTGACAAACTCATCACACGAGTCATATGGACAGGCCAAAGACCACATAGCACTCGATGGACCATGGGTCCCCCTCGAAGAACTAGTGGGGTGTCGTAGTCCCTCGAAGAACTAATGGGACAATAATAGTGGCCAACCATAGAGTTCTGTACGAAAACTAATACCACGTGATAAATATATAAATATCAATAACTCCAATCATCTCCTTCTCCCATCCAAACCAGATGCACAGGGTTCAAAATAATATATCTATATGCATAATCAACCGAATTCCAAAATAACACCTCATAGTCATAATCATTAATTTCTAACAATACAAATTATTTTAATTATTTTCAAAATAATATCTCACAAGACAGTTCATAACACCTCATAGTCATAATTATTAATTTCTAACAATACAAACAATTTCAATATTTTTCAAAATAGTATCCTACAAGACAGTTCATACTAAAATAATATATGTATATGAAACTTGG